TCCTACAATTAGTCGATCCTTCAGCTGCACATGAAGTCGATCACCAAAATTGCACTTGGCAGCTTGTCTTTTCAATTCAAGGATGGATCTACTACCTTTTTGCTCATTTTGCTCCCTCACGACATTCAAAACTGGTACACTTTACATGATTTAATAATAGTTCCTTAAGCGTTGCATGATGAAGTGAGACAGAGTTTTCTGAATATGTCAACGTTCTTAATAAACTGTAGGCTTCTTTTCTGATTAAATGTAATGAAATGTGGCAAAATTTTATCACCCTTAACGTTTTTCTTGATCATTCTCCAGATTCCAAAATTTTACAAATAATCCTCAAAAGTTTCATAAGTTGAATGAATGTCCAACTGTTGCATCACAGACTCCATCGCGATGCCAGTTTCGATAATTACGAGTATTTAAATTATAGTGCAAACCAAGAATCTTAGAAATAACGCAATGTAAGCAAGAAGTATTAGATGAGCACTAACGAACATATTGTATTTGGAATACGAAATCAAACAGTCCTCAACTACAAAGGATTCGTTAGTTCATACAAACACCACATCCAACACAGCTTAAATTGGAGTTACCATCTGTAACTCATTATATTCGCTTAATATTTGTCCGATCACAAACAGTTACATTACTTATTTAGATTTTGATCCCTTCAATTATTGGTCATAGAATACACAGCGAAAGCATTCTATATCGTCTACCTTGAAAGCCTCAACAAGTGAGTTTTTTTTTAGTATTACAACACTGATTTCTCTATGGAGATACAGCTTTTATTAAAATGTCTCTAACAAGTTACAGACTGTTTACTTAGCTAATGGTTGTTTGTAATTAGTTGACGAGATCAAGTTGGAATCCGTTTTTATTTCAACTTAAACTAATCATTCAAACAGAACTTCATATCACAAATAAACACATTACTTACAATCAACAGTGTTTAAAACAATGTACCTCAAGAACGTGATGAATTTGAGTAGAAGACATCCATATTTGATATTGATTATTCAAAGAAATAAATCATTTGTTCCTAGTTTCGTCATGTCGGTTGCTTTCATTGGTCAATTGGAAGAATATCAATAGACAATTGATAACCTGATAATGGTTTACAGTTAATTAACGAAAACATTCTAATGGAAGAGACTGAAAATAATTGACCTTAATTAACTTAAATCTAACATTTGTATATGCACATTATTGTGAGTGGTATGAATGCACGAACGTGCACATAGCACTGGTATCCAGCAATCTCGAACTTGTTTGCGATCGATCAATTTCTAAACCAATGACCATGCATCGTAAGTTGTATCCGTTCAACTTTAATTAATCCGTGATTTTGTGCAACGTTTTGTTCATTATTCTTGGGCTGATATCTGTCTCACACTCCATTTATCACGGGGTCTGAATTCATTTCTGTTTTGTTTTTACGTATTAAGCATATTTTACGTGGTTGATTTTTAATACGCTGTAGTATTTGAACTTCTTTGTTTGTTTTTTCCTTCTACACACTGTTTCTTATTAAAATTATTCCGTTTTTTTTGTAATTTGATTGTCTAGCGTTATCTAATTTACTCTTTATTATTATATAGTAATGTTCTTAACAGATTTTTGTGTGATCAAATATTTGGAATGCATCGCGCTAATATATCACGTTGCTCCGCTAATCACGTTGTTTTCTGTCTATTGATGATACTTGAATCTCCGTTGAGAATTCAAGACCTAGCATGATAGGTGATAAGTTTGACTGCTGATGCCTTCTCAGATGATGCACTTTAAATAGCCTCATATTTCGATGATTCTAGAAATATTATGAACCTCTCTTTGACCGTTACTACCAATCATTTCGGTGAGATTATCTCATATCAGTCGAATATACGTAACGTCTATCCTGATCAGCTTAACGCATAAGAGTCAAGCTCTTCTCACGTGCGTGAACTAACCTCGACAACCATTCCCAACTCAGTTTAAAAACAGAACTACGAGTAGTGATTGTGTTTCGATTCGCGTTTAAGCACACATACGTCTCTCACAATGCAAAACTCCTTTTCCTAAAGGCCGTAAAACGTTTTGAAGTAGAATTAACCTGTAGTGACCTACTTTTAATGGAAACAATTATTATTATAACCAATTGTGCCAGGGATTGTTTCACCGTACTTGTTTGTTTAACTGTACCAAAATACATACATTCTTCCGTTGTTTGTGGCCTTGCATGAATTCGGTTATGTTCAGTAACCCCACTTATAACCTGAAACGATCTCGGTATTCTTTCGATACCACGGGATCGCCAACAAACACATCTCGACTACAGCCACCAACTGCCTTCTCATATTTGGCCTACGAGGGATCTTATCGGTTAACTGGCACGTAGTCTTCCTGTAGTGGTGATCACAGTCAACCGCGATTCGACGCCACACTACAACCCGATTCCACTTCGTGAACGGAGAACTCTGTTTTGTTCTAAACCAGCATTTGGAAATTTGTTGTTCTAAGGCATAGACGATTTCATCAAAAATATTACTTTGAGGCAAAAAAATATGTTGTAAGCTTGGAAACGTCCATTCAGCATCACTTTATTCATTGTTCGCATCATAAACTAAAATTTCCATCACTTTTCGAGCAATAACACGTGATTGTCCAGGCAGGTGTTTTAAAATTTACCTGTCTGTGTTATATCCAGCTGAAAGGTTCATCAAAACACATACTGTAAAGAGAACACAAACTCCCATAATGCTCTTCCAACTTTATGAATTCCATATATCCATGGTTACCTGATGAATGATCGAGCCAGCGACAGATAAATATCATTAGATTAAAAAATTTGCTAAGTGTCAGATTATCACGCTCTCACAATCGAAAACTGTACACTAGGCAATGTTGTTTCTGCAGAATAACATGCGACTAGGCCTATCGTTTGTCTTAGGAAACAGTTCTATTTTCGTCTCATTTGCGTGTCAGATTCTGACTTTACGTTCGAAAGTAATGTTGACTCAGTTATGTTGAGATTTCAGTGCGTTGGTAGAGGCTGACTTTAAACGTAATTTGTAGGTCTACTGGATGGTTGGAATCGCCTGAATAGAAAATCCGACTATGAGTTACGTAATTACTCTTCACCTAATAAGCATTAATGTTACTGCGATCGACCGTATTGAAGTAAGGCTTTTAACTATCAATTATTTAATAATTTCCTAATAAGATGTTATATGTTGGGGAGTTTCTTATGTAACAGTATCAGTCCAAACGCAGACTCAGAGAGCTCAAAAATGGAAACTTTCAAGTTTGAACAGAGATCTGGAAAATGCAGGAATCCTGGAGACGACTGTTACAAGCTTTGAGGAAAGCAGACTTGATAGCCATTTTTTAAATGTTTCTAGTTGATGTGAACACACCAAAACTTTATCCAACAAACCAACATACGTCACATCATACGTACAGTAATCATTCCAACTGCATCGGATGCCGAATATCACCAAGTAGCATAAGAAAATACGGAAACCCTACAATGCATGGATAGAGAATAAATAGAGAGAACCGAAGCAAGCATGACCACGACTTAGCATGTGTATTTCGAGGAGTCAGTCATTCACTATAATTCATTAGGGATTATTCACTGTATCGACTATCAGATACAGAATAGTCCGCACAAATCAGTTAACGGATAGTTTCGCCATGAATGGGGAAGATCGTCAAGATCACGGACAGACGAATGATCGCTTGTGAACAGGCATGGTTATTAAGAAGCATTGCAAACAATGTAATCCGAATCGAAGGAAATAATGACGAGCAAAGTCAGGCCAACAATCACCTACAAAGCATTTTGCGCTAATTGAGAAAGATTCTGTATTTGAGAAGCACAATTTGAGAAATTACAAACTGGTATTTGATGAGTTTTAACCGAGGATATTTCCTAAAACACACATGACATGAATGAATAAGTGTAGGAAATTCATGTTGTCCACCTATTGGATGATGTGTCATCGGCTAATTTTAACTAACCTTCCTCAATTCGTTGCACATGTGAACCACCACTGAATACATCCGACTTAATGATTTTCGGTGAACAAGCTTACGAAACTCAGTCATTGTACGTGGAATATCTTTGAAGTAAATCATTTTCACAAAAAAGACATCCTAAAAGCCAATTCGTGTTTGTCTACTCACGTACGCTCGCTACAATGTTATAGTGATTATGCATATTATTCACTGCAAACAAATACTCAGCGTTTTCTTTTCAAAAGTAATGTAGATAATAAGAGTCAACAATTTAATTACCATATTCCATGTATTGTGTGTTAAAATTACAGAATGTGATTCAAGAATATTGTTAAGTTTACTACAGACTAAAACAGTGTTTATTTAATTTGATTTGATTGGGTCATCTGAAAGAAAAGTGTATGAAAGCTTTGATGATTCTTGGTAGTAATATGCCTTTGAATGAGACTGATAACCGAGCCTGCAATGTGTAATGATATAACAAAAAGGAGGGTGTAAATTTAATCAATGGTAATGAGTATTGTAGTCGAGGGATTAGATGACGGTTAGTTCAACGTTAATTTGTCAATTGTGTTTGATCGGTGGACAACAATTGTGTCCTATCACAATTTGTGCAACACTAAAACAAATATTCTGCTTCACTATAATCGTCTGAATGAATATGCACATATTGAGAGCACATGTATACAGCGATTCTGGAACAATTACCGATTTGCACGGGTAACATTGATGTTGACAACTGAATGTTGATCACATCCAAATTGAACACATTTTCACAAATGGTTACAAAACATTTTGATCGAACCATATTCATCCAACAACCACAGTCTGTGACTCGAAATTGAAAGCATTTTATGAACAGTAACTACCATGCTACATGGTCATGTTTAAATGAACTGTCTATCTACTATCACTTTTCAACGAAACTTGAAACTACTGATAGATTTAAAAACACAGATATTTGTTAAAATCCAACTATAACACAACGATTCACTACTCACTTGTCACTCTTCATTTGACTGATCTGTTAATTTGTAAATCAAGTGAACAGTGAAGATCATGAAATGAAACTACAACCGTAACAATTTTGTCGACATGCATACTCCCTATTGCCGTATTGTTGTTTGATGAGGCCACCTCAACCGATAAATATTTGCATGAGTCTATCGGCTGTTGAAATCGTGATTTCGTTAGCCAACAAATTGATTCGCGTTTCATGAATATAAGTCGTGACCTTAAGGAATGGAAATGCGTTAGACCCTGTAACGGTCGTCACATATTCGAATTACATTGATAACAGACGTCTGTATACAGCACTTTTGTCTACAGTCTCAATATTGTCGACTTGATTTGACAGCACTTGATGTGAAAGTGAGTTGGTGAGACCAGCTTGAAAAGGGCATAACAAACTGTCAGTCTGTTTTTGGTGATTCAGAGAATATCAACAGTAAGTGGATGGTTTATTGAGAGCAAATCACCAATATTGCAAATTGTTAACAGATTTTGTTTGAAAAGTTATTTCATTGACGTCCTAAACAGGTTATCCCATCTGTTTATTGAAAACCGACGCCACATGGTCTTATCGTTGTGAATTAAGAGAGTCTGTATACCTCGACTTGAGAGTGAACCTGACTCCGATTCGAAGGTTTCTTGTATTTCTACAAGTTATGCTGAAGTATTTGTGGTTGGTGGTCTAGTTCCACGATGTAGACATTATCACATGGATAAGGTATTTCTACTGCTTGCTATGTTTATGCCGTTCCGGTTTCATACAAATCTAATAGGTCGTGTTCTGTGTTCCGATTGTTTTTCTCACTCACAATACTTTCACAGAGACTCACGGTTTGATCAGGCTACTAGTATCAAGGGAGGAAAGGAAGAATACGATATCCATTACGTATTCACTTGCATCCACTTTGAAATTGAAAAGCGATTTTCAACAGATACTGACAGGTATCCTTAACATTTACGCAATCTAGATAAACAATCACCGAGAATCATATTTGTGGAATCCACAGTAATATAAGTTGTAATGAATGATCTACTTATAAGGTAGACAATTTCGGTGCAATAGGGCACCACAATAATTTGCCATAACAAACTGAAAGTCAAGAATAATCAGGATTAATGGTGAGTAATGTTACATGACGGTAAATGATTACGGGCAATGTCATCAGTCCCATGTGATCATTGTACAACATGTGAATTCCATGGTAACGTTTATGCATTGAGCGACATATTTCACAACTTACCAGATGGAAACGAAGCATAGATACAGTGACCTATATTTTGAAAGACAATTAAGTAATATTCATCAGTGAGAACTGCAAATGAATTGTGGTTAGAAAAATTGAAGTGATAAATTGATATAAATAAACTTCAAACAAAGTTAAAATAGACGGCTATCATTATGTTTGCCTGTTCCTACTGAAACAAATACGCAGTACAATTAAATTATCACTTTAGGAAAAAGAAAGTTGGAGGTGGAGTAGGTGGTTTGCATCTCATTGAAGGGGCTTACAGGAGTTGATTTGACTGGTCGATTTGATCGATCACCCTTTTCCCATTGTTTCCACAAGCAACATTATCATCACATACTTCAGCATTTATGTAAGCATACTCAAATAACATGGCAAACAGGTCGGTAGAAATAAGGATTAACGACTGCGTCGTATGACAGCTGACAGATGTAGTTGAAGTGCCAGCAATTACACTATTAGCAATCGTTGGCAAACCACAGTACGAAACGACTGTAGCAAACAACCAAAAGTCATTTACTAAATAGACCGTTCTAATGACGAAAATCTCAATATAGAACAACGTTGATGCCTCCTTGATGTTTGTCCTCATGAACATCAATTAACAGTAAAACGTTATGATAAATCTTCGTTTGGATCATTGCATAAGAACATTTGTGAATACTCGTTTGACTGGAAAGATATTGAAATCCTTGATAGAAAGGATACTACGTACACCATAGGATCTCTCCTTAACTTGACACCTAACTAAATCAGCAATTAACAAACACATCGAAATCATTACAGACTTTCAATCAATCGAAATATTCATCTGCGAAAATAGAACCAAGAGTTAGGTCGAAGCGAGATACAATCGAAATAAGGAGACAGATAATGTCAGGTTCGCTAATACCTCGGATTTGTGCAAATGAGATCATTCAGAAGAATAATCCCGTTGTTGATAGTTTCGCTGAGATCACATTAGTGTTGTTGCATATGTGCAATATGTGTGCACTACATCCACATAATCTTAATCATGATACAGACAACTGACAAATCGCAAGTAGAAAAATGTGCTTGAATATATTCGTGATAAAATGCAAAGACGTTGTTCCAGTATGATCAATTTTTAATGTTACCTGTGTAGTTCAGTTTCAAGTTTTCTAATTCAGAGATTCGTATAATTGACGGCAAACCTTGAAAATAATTTTGATGAAAAAATTCAACAAGACGTAATTTACACCATGATGTAAACCGACTTTGTGATATCGTAAAACTCGACAACAAATAGCGGATGAATCGAAGGACAGGTACATGGAACAGCGCAATGTGTTGAAAAACATTGATGGAAAGTTTGCACAGAGATGTTAGGAACTCAGTGACATTTTAATAAGCAGGAAAAAATTTAAAATCAAACAAGATAAGTCATGGGTTTATAGAACGAACGAATGAAGGAGATTTCTGATTGCCAAATTCGTACAAATAAAGAGTGAAGGCATTTGTAAATCAAGAGATAAGTATAAAAAAGAGATCAAGCAGAATACAGGAGTTCGTTGAAAACTGTAAGTAGGTGAGAGCAGGAAATTGAACGGTTTAAGATCACGACTATATAATGTGAAAAAATATCATAGAACGATTAAGTGGAGCATAAAGAAACAGGTGTTACGTACAAGCACAAAACATATGCCAATGAATCAGAAAAGTGAAACAAAGCTGCGGAAAAACGTTGCTGGAGACAATGATCACCAGCATATGAAGATCAAAAGTGACATGTCTCAAGACCGTTGATTTACTAATCAGGGAGAGATAGAAATCATCAATTGTGCAAACATACCGAGAGACGTTTGTTCCTCGTCAATCTTTTTCTCAGGTTGAGATACTTCGCTCTGTATGGTCGACTTCTCACCTAAATGACAGGAAGGCATCGAGAAATAAACCGACAGGGTAAGTTCAATGGAACAATGAAAAAGTCTAAAACTGATGACTGAAAAGTCATTCACTGACTACATGAACAAAAAATGACATGTCTCAAGATCCTCAATTTGCAAATCAAAGGGGGAATGAGAAAACATCAGTCAATCAAACATACCGAAAGACGTTTCCTCTTTATCAGTTGTTGTTCCAGGTTGAGATATTTCTTTCTGTATGGTCGTTTTTCCATCTAAATGACAGGAAGACATAGAAAAATAAACCGACAGAGTAATGAAATGGTCTAGAACTGATGTCTGAAATTTCATTCACTGGTCGCCTTATGTTCTTGTGTACTAATGCCTGAGTGCATTTGTGTGCGTGTGTGCTTGTGTGTTTGCTCTCATCTGCATTATTTCCATCTGTCGCGACATTTTTCAGCGACACTTGCGTACACTTGCCCTAAACATTTTTCGATAATAATTTTGTATTCTTTACCTGCTTTGCAGAATTACTCACCGCTTTCTTCTTTATATAGTAATTCACAAATAGACCAGTAAATTCTTCTATATATATTATACTCTGAACAGCAATACCCTTTCTTCATAAGTTCTCGGTAGTCCATCGTCGTGCTTATAACTTCTCTCAACACATCGAAGGAGCACTTCGTCATTGTTTCACCGAATCCAGGATATATATTCGACATAATGATCTTCAACTGAAATCAAAATATTGAGACAGTGTTTTATGGCACTAATATTTATTCTGTAATCTACTGAAACAATGTCTGTTTTAAACAATTAGGTATTGTGTACTCATCGATATGTGTCACATAAGAACCCTGTGGGAACTTGATCTCATTATTCTATGAAATTGTTTTTATTTAAATTCTGATGAAAGCAGATAACAAATGATACGAAAGCCACATAACATTGATGGTTGACATTCAGGTCTACAGAATATCAAGAAATTAATATATTCATCAACAAATGTCATCAAAACGAATATCGACGGACTTCTCGTTGAAATTGTGGGATTAACGGTACGAAGATAACAAAACTAACGCAATCAACGTAAATCTGTAAACTCTTCAAATCAACACACGACTGCTACTTGATCGATCGACACGAAACGCAATGGATTCAAGAAAACTTTATAATGCATGACCAGATAGAAACTCACCTTAGGGCACTTATCAATAGCTAGTACACCCTTAGGATAGGTTTTTGTGAACAGATGGGAATCTAAAATGTACACATTTCATTAAATATAGTTTGTAAAACGAATATTCACTCTCAACAAAATATTTCATAAATCGATTTGCTAATCAAACCACTCTATTCAGTGGGTACTGTGAGCTGAACAACATATCGATTTTCGTGTTGACCGAGGAATCTGTGATAAAAACAGTGAGATTGTTCAGACATTATTTAAATTCACTGATGATCTCATACTCAGTCAAACTATTGTGACGTTCGTTGTGACGAGGACGTGAAACTGGTGCAGGAATGGTTATCAAAGTTTATGATCGAATTCTCAACACGATTGGCGATCTGGACACTGTTGAGCTGAACAGATCGAAACCAACGTGCCGAAGAACACGTGACCTTGTCTATAGTGAGAAAATCACTGAAATACAGCGGAGTGATACACAGCATATCAGTTGAATGATATTTCCGATCAATCACTTGGTTCCGCTGTGTGAGTTTAATGCGAGTGTGTTTATGTGTCGAATATTTTCAAGCATCTCAAAGTCAGGAGCGTGTGACTGAGCAAATTATGGCGATCAATTAAAACGGTCTTAAGGAGTCGAACATTCCCGGACACATTCAATAAATTGTATGATTTCACTACAATCGCATCTTCTACATTACGTTCGCCGGCTTTCCATCATTCAGTTAAAATAACAGTCCTAAACAAAGCAATCAACCCATGTCATCTTGTCACATTCACACACACTTCTATTGAGGCCAACAAGAAATAACAGGAAATCCATATTCAAATCAACAGCCTCATATATTTATAAGAAAACTCACCACGGACATCGGCTTTTTGATCTGAAATTCACAATAAATATTATTTTGCGGTTGATGACAACTGACTGACTCTTTCACTCATTCGACAACTCACATTTACAAATCATTACACATCATTCACTTCCTAAATTCCTACACCACATTGACAGATTATTGTGTTCAATATTCCTCAGTATCACTGACTTCAACAGATTTTACAACACACAAAACTACAGAATTTATTGTGAACTTACCACTCACTGAAACGATATCTGAAATGGAGTACAGTATATTTACTACTTAATGATGAAAACTGCAAGCTATGTTATCTCAACTGAACACCGTACATATTGATCAAGTGTGGATATCAACTAGAAAATTGTTATGCATTGGTGATTCACTCACCAATTATCCACGCGCTATTCACATTCACACTACCCGATTCAAGCGTATTCTTCAACGATGGGAACCAGGTTTTCGACGAAAATACATTTTCCATTTCATTCGATAACACTGCCAGTTCAACCTTAATATTGTCTACACGGATATCGTTTGGCCTTTGTGTGTGATCGATATCACATGACAGAGTAGCAGAACTCAATTTTGGTTCCAATTCCTTCACCACATCCACAACCTTTAAGAAATCACATGAAAACACTATCCGTCAGATTATTTCGTTGAAGTTTTTGTGAAAGTGATCATTCTAACTCGAAATGTAAATTTTATTGATATTCACATTATTAAAATGGTTACTCAGACTCATAGTGATATCTAACATTTACCCTTTAGCAACAAAATTTCATTTTTGCGTATTTTACAAATTTTCACATAAATGTACACGTCCCATTGCAACACATCATCTAACATTCATTGCTGCGTCTCCAATAGATCAATGAGTATATACATATATATATATGAAGTAAAATGACTCGAATAATGTTGTCATACACGTCTCTTCGTGTTTTAGAACTTGAGTGAGAGCTTCTAGACTTACGTTTGCACAATATCTATCCAGAAGCTTTAGGGATTGTGCTAATGAATTATTTCCAATTATTTCATCCCACTCCTTAACACGGACAGATAGTATATATACAGCGATATCTAAAACAAACCGGAATTCAAATATATTAGATGCAGGCACAATTCAAACACGAAAATCATTCAAAACAGCAGCACGACTATTGCGCAGGAAATCGTACATGAAGCATTTCGAACGTGTCTAGACAGAGTGATCCAATATACGATAACTGATTAGGAGTTACTAAGTGAATGAGCTAAAGCAAGAATCAACAATACATCAAACCATACAGAACTGGGATGGTCACTTCAATTTCTTCCAAACTGAAACCATGAAAACCGTAGCGCATGACGATATTCACTGTAGTTCGGATGTAAGATAAGAATATGTGTGTGGTGTTTGAATGAAATAATGATTCCTTTGTAACTGTTGAATGTTTGGTTTCGAATTCGAAATACAGTGCATTCCTTCGTGCCTATATACTACTACTTGATCCGATTGCGTCATTTCTGGGATTCTTAGTTCGTACTATAATTCAAATGTTCCTAATTATCAAAATGTGTCGCGTCTGAACATCTAACCAAATTGTACTGCATATTTCATTCAATATACACAAAAATGAACGATTTTCGTTCAACATTTTATACGAAACGTGATGTAAACGCAGTTCATCAAATGATATTACCGTTCAAATAACTTACCTTTACTTGAAAACTCAAGTGTCTCAGCTGCCACTTCTTGATCTCCTGTGACGTCAACAAAAAACAATGGAAATTATGAAAATGAGACATTCACATGAATTGAGAAACGCTTCATCAGTTTACTGACGAGTAGACACAACAAGTGATTGGTCAGTGAGTAGTGACTAGCATCACGTTTACATAATGGTATTAACGGCATTTAACATTGAGTGGATTAGCCACTAAACAGTATTCAGTCAACAAGGAATTCGCCTATAGACAAGAGTCCAGCTGTCGAAGAATAGCTCACTGTTGATATCACAGATTGTGGAGCTATTTTACATGGGGTGCAACACACTGTAATGCAACACTTCCTTCAAAATTTCAGACAGACTTTGCTGACGAGTGGCTATCAGCATGAACAACGATTTTAGCTATTACTGACAATGAACTCTAACCACCGAACGAACTAGGTGCATGTTTATCAAGAATCATTCAGAATAATATTAGCTGTTTGATTTCGTATGACATCGTGAGCGAGATTTATTGGAATCACTAATTCTCGTCTTTCATTTGAAAGCACACACATATTCACATCAATAGACATTTGCTTGATCAATCGACTAAACACGTCTACGGTGATCCATTTGATCTACCGTACTTCAAACTCCTTTACATTGAAGTAGGAGTTCAAGTGATCATCAAAATTCACAGAGTCTCGTCTGTTTTCCTGTGAAACCTGTGAAACATCGAATCCTATTCCATGTGATGTGCGGTCCAGTATGCTTCCATTGAGTGCCATTTATTCATTTCTCCTGATGACAACTTCATCTACAACGAGACTGATGACACTCGAATATGTTCACAGCGTTATGTGGAGGTTCATCCGTCAACTCGTCATGGTTTTGTTATCGGTGCAAGAAGTACACATAGATTGTTCACGTTACACTGAAAACCACGTAGCGATAACAGTGTAGACTGGCTGTGGTACAGGATCTGAAAAACTAGGTGCCGACACAGTCTGGTGAACTGTTCACGAGTACAATTTGTCGTTTAACAGTTGCCGTTCATTAATTTGAGTTTCCATACTAGAACGAATCAGTTCTTGCGTGTTCTCTGGTCATCACTGTTAGCCTAGCAAGGGTCAGAACATGATTCGAACTAAGGATTCGAAACAACCCATTATAACGGACAGAAACAATCATAAATAATCAATTCGCAGAGGATTTCGTCGTTTATTATTCATAGTTATCATTTTTCAGAAACCATCTTTTTACGAGCATCATGGTTGTATGAAAGCTTCACTTCAAAGTTTCACTAAATGTTTAGATTTAAAGTTTGTCTTTACTTCTACTGACGACAAATATGAAGTAAATTCACGTTTTCCACTACGCGTTCAATCAGGACATTCTTCCACTGTTTATATCATCCAATGGGGATCTATTGAAAACTTCAGTCGTTCATATTGATAGTAAGTCAGAACAGTGTTGAACGAATACTTTCTTTATGGTTCTTCGATAAGGATTACAAACAGGCAAGTATTACAACTTATGCTGCTGTCACATTGTATCACGTGATACAGGTAAATGTCATGCAGTTTTGTCAGGACAATATTGCTTTCTAATATCGTCATGTTAGCAAATTTCAAAATGCTTGCAGTACACGAACGATGAATTCTTATTTATCAATCAATGACTTCGGCAAGGCTTTATTGGAGCCTGTAGACTATCAAGGCATTTGACTTATTATACTACCCGTGAGCTGTTCGAAATTAGTCATAAGGAAGCAGAACTTAGTATGATTCCATACTGATTGATACTCAACGGTGAATTATATTGTGATTGTAGGAGAACCAATGCTCAATGTGGAGATCGAATAAGTGTAAACATCTTTCACGACATGAAGAGTGCTCGTCAACGCACACTAATGACGGGCGACTTCCTGGTCAATCAAAATATTTAAAACGGTTCATCACCGTATACTGACTAACGACATTATTACTGAGTGATTATTTATGTCAAGTACATCGTCATATGAATGAAAGTAAAGATGGAAACGCACATTTAGAAAGTTTCAAACTTACCCGCATTGCAGACCAGGAAAAAGAAGAGAAACCAAACAACTGCTACTTGTGATCTAAACATATTTGCTCTCTGTAATTCACCAAGTTTTCTGAAATCAATTACACAGTTAACGTCCTGATTCCTGTTTAAATACAATGATAACGTGTCATTCTAGTCACAATTAAAACGTATGTGATTGGCAAGTGTAAGGATAGAAGTTGTCCGATTGGTCGATGCCACATTTTCTAAACTATACCAAGGTCAAAACCAATGTGAATGAGACCATCATTCAAAAAATCAATAAAAGTAACCATCACGTGTAACGAGATAGAGTCCAAACAAATAGTCATTCAATCTTTGATAAATTCATCAAACTATTTTTCATCTTTTGGTCACCCCTTTCATTATCACACACCAGTGTTACTTGAGAACCTGAAATTAAAACATTTACCACACCGTTTAATTTCACTCCATCCTGACCACACATTCCCTGTCAACTTGCGTATGCGCCTATTCAGTTTCCGGCTGAAATATCTTCAAAGGCGTTGAAAAAGTATGATGGCGTGAGAGTCTCATACAAATGAATTTATGTTGATGTAAGAAAACAAATGTTCCAAGATTAAATTCATTCAGGCTCACCGTGATGTACACTCAGTCCATTCATAGTGCAAGTAAACTTCTTAATCATTATGCATTTCTATTTCCGTGGTACAGTTAATGGCAATGAATGTGAAGATCTCTGTACCAATTTATCGGCATAAAACAATTGGATGTGCAACATTCATCAGCATCTCCGTATTCTCAATGTGTCAGCATGCAATTCTCTCCCGCTAAAAATAGTAAAGATTTCAAGCTAATTAGTGTCATAGGTTTCGCAGTTTACATTAAGAATAAAATGCAACGACATTTTGCACGTCGAGCATTACCCATTGTATTATTTTAGCCTGATTCCGTGCACCATGCCAAGTCGTTGTGATAATTGTAATATAAACGAAACATTCTCATATGTGACACAACCACTCCACATGTATTTAAAGTGATCAGTGAGAATATTGAAGATGAAATTAGTATATATTGGGCTGCGAAATTCCTTAATTCAAGGTCGAAATGACAAAAGGATTACTGAGAAATTGGACATCGATCCCGTCATTATTATATGATCGCTTCACGGACACTTGCTGCACTTATCAGTTTTATATGTGCATATTTTCCATTATGTCGACCACCACTAAACCGAGAATCTTCTTCTATATTATGTTGATGTTCAGCCTTCAGGGCGAATGGATTCACTGTTCGTGCACCACTTTTCTTTTCAGTTACCTTCTTGTCACGGTCTACGTTTAGAACAAATTGGAACTCTACCGTCACAACGTGAAGTATTAGGGGTTTGCACTGTTCCATGAGTGCGTAAATATGAGTACGGATTTCAGAACCAGATTGTGACTGCTATCGGCTGGCAGAAATTGAGAGTTTGATCTAGTTCTGGGTTATCTCACTTAGATCAAATTGTTGACATGCTCGATTCAACTCGTGAGCTTGAGTGGTGGAGTGATTATTAATGTTAGACATCTGTGATGATTGTAGAATGTGGATGTTTGTTCAGTCAAACTTTCAATAATATTAATGATTATCATTCAATTGCAAAGTGATGACATATCTTATTGGTTATTGTCTTCTACAGGTTATTTATCCTTTATATTGTAAAACGAATTTATGGACATGGAGTGTTATTTTAATTTTAACAGTTTGTGAACTCAGGTCAAATCTAAACATTCCCCGTTTGAGATGGTGGAAAAGATATGTAGCTCAGGTAATGATTTTGATGAACTTTTGTTCTCTATCAGAAATTCCACCTTTTGTTAGTAGCTGTGATAAGGTATTTGTGGTTGGTGTGCGAAACTAACGTTGAAGTTATCTTATCAAAAACTGTTACCAGCTATAATGTATAAATGATCTGAAATTTGTGCAGAAAGTGAGTAGTTGCTGTGTGATCAGTTCATCCATTAACTGTGTGATACTTAGCACCTAGTGCTACCATTCACACTTTGAAACGGGTATTTCGTTTTTACGCCAAAGCTAATAGGTTGTGCCCTGAGTGTTGCATGCTCCGTCCTGTACAACAAATTCACAAAGACCGACAGTTTGGTCAAGATGAATAGACCACCTACGTCTTCACAAATATTCACGTTTAAACTTCGAAAGCGATTTCCAACATATACTGAATGGTATTCGTGACATTACCGCAGGATAGATAAACAATGATGGAGAATCATATTTGTGGAATTTACAGTGGCGTAATTTGTAATCAATGATTTATTCAAAACATATGGCAAGTTGAGTGCGACAGGGCACTACAGTAATTTGCGCTGACCAGCTGAATGTTAGGAATAAAGAGAACTAATGGTCAGTAATAGGATGTGATGATATAGGATTGCAGGCGATGTCATCATTCACACATGACCATTTTACAATATTTCAAGTCGGTGATAACGTTTATGCAGTGAGTGAGGCAATTCACAACTTAAATGATAGAAGAGAAATATAAAGACAATGATCTATACTTTGACAAACGATCAAACAATATTCATCAGTGAGAACTGCAAATGAATTACGTTCAGGAAAGATGAAATGAAAAATTGATGCAAATTAATTATTAGTTAAATGAAAAAGATGTCGGTCTACTAAAAACATTGCAATTCTCGTTTGGACATTGATCAATTTGTTAAGAAGATGAACTGTTTTTAAATATGGATATATAAACTTAACCGAAACAGAATTCCATAAATCCCAGAAATAACGCAATTTAACCGAGAAGTGCTAAATGAACACAAAGGAATTTATTGCATTCGGAATTCGAATTCAAACAGTCATCAAATACAAAGGAATCGTTAGTTCATGAAAACACCACAGTTTATCAACATCCTGACAGGAAATATATACATGTTGTATTCCACACATCAGAAATTTATATCATACTCAAGGAAGAACCAATATACTTTCATTAGTATGTCCTTTGAATTTTGTACATTTTGACCGAGGCCTTCTAAGGCTTTTCTATATGATAAATAGACGTTTGAAAACTCAACACGGCCAATGGCTGACACATCGTTCGACAACTCACATTTACAAATCATTACACATCATTCACTTCCTAAATTCCTACACCACATTGACAGATTATTGTGTTCAATATTCCTCAGTATCACTGACTTCAACAGATTTTACAACACACAAAACTACAGAATTTATTGTGAACTTACCACTCACTGAAACGATATCTGAAATGGAGTACAGTATATTTACTACTTAATGATGAAAACTGCAAGCTATGTTATCTCAACTGAACACCGTACATATTGATCAAGTGTGGATATCAACTAGAAAATTGTTATGCATTGGTGATTCACTCACCAATTATCCACGCGCTATTCACATTCACATTACCCGATTCAAGTGTATTCTTCAACGATGGGAACCAGGTTTTCGACGAAAATACTTTTTCCATTTCACTCGATAACACTGCCAGTTCAACCTTAATATTGTCTACACGGATATCGTTTGGCCTTTGTGAGTGATCGATATCACATGACAGAGTAGCAGAACTCAATTTTCGTTCCAATTCCTTCACCACATCCACAACTCATTTGAAATCACAGAATGATCTAATCTAAGTGACCAAACCATTTCATTCACAGTACTATGCAGGTGGACGACGGGAGTCCAGTTCATTTTGTTTCAAAAGTAACTGAAATTTATCAATTCTTATCGATATACCGTGAAATGATTGTGGGTAAATAGCGAATTTCATTCTCTTCGGTAACTATCGCACTACCTGTAAATATCGAGATACCAAAACTCAAAGCTCAAAGAAGCCCAGCCGAGGATCTTCCATTCAATCATGTTTTGGAAGAATATTCCAAAATCTCTACATGTAGCTTCCGCATTGTACAAATGCTTAAACCACCTGTGCGCGGATTGCATGACTATAATGATGATTTCGTTCTACTGAAAAGTCATAAATACTTGATAGATTTGTACCATACTTGACACTGTTTGAAATAGAATTCCTTCTCACCAGCGTTTGAATGCTCAAGTTGTATGCAGTATAGTAAGAATCCAAGCTCTACATATAACAGTTATCTTCCTCTCTACCTTCAGTCAGTGAATTCTTACGATACATGAATCACTTATATTTTCACAGAAGTCATCGAAAACTCCAAATAATTGATGAAGTGACCTGTCTTTAACTGCCTTATCCCAGCCCTCATTTGAACTTTCAGTATGCTCTCAACAATATTTGAAATTGCTGAGAATTAAAGAATGTGACATGCACATATGTTCCACTATAATAACTGATGAGATGATGAACAATGCAAGGCGACCAAATAAACAATCTCACTGTTTGCGAAGGGAAGTGTTCGTCGGTTAACAAAATTCAACAGTAAAAGTGTGCCATTAGTGTTGTTGATAAATCGGATCAGCAGACCTGTTGATTTGCGACTGTTATAACAACTCTTTTCTGACTATGTGTTATTAATGGAGAAATACGTCGTTTATCTTTTGATGATACATGTTGAACACGACCAAACAGTGTGACCTATCATTCTATAACCAAAAAAGAAATACCAATGGAAATGTGCTGCAGAAAACAAATATGAAGTCATCCTAAATTCTCGTACACATATCTTTCTAAAGTATCTCAAATGTAATGTTTAGAGAAAGGACATAACAGCATACTAAGTCTGGTTAGTGAAGATAAACAATTTGTTTGTCACAAACATAATTAGGTGTTGCACAATTAAAGTATCTGAAATCAACGTACGTGCTAATCTATATGTAATTTGTTGTATGTAATTGCTTCACGGACTTACTTGGATTTTGTGGAGTCTGGAGACTGGACTGCAACCACGTTATCTATGGTAATGTAAAGAAATTAGACAAAAAAGTGCAGTGAAACCAATAAAATTTGTGTATCTCTGTGAATTGCCAAATAAATAATAAAATTCACGCCTATCGATAGTCACTATCAGCAACAACCTACTATGGGAGAGAACAAATCAGATCCCAACGGGTGAAGAAATCAGGAAGAAACGCTGGAAGTAGATAGGACACACATTGAGAAAAGCACCCAACTGTGTCACAAGGCAAACACTCACATGGAATCCTCAAGGCCAA